GGGTCAGGTGTTTGCTACTGCGTCCACGTCTGGTCCTGAGTCTGCCCCCTACTCGTGTCGCCTCCTGTCTCACGAGACTCTCCTGTGGCACCACCGTCTTGGCCACCCCTCCGTGCCTCGTCTTCGGGGCATGGCTTCCCGTGTCCTTGTCTCTGGTCTTCCCCAGTCCCTCCCTCCCCTTCCTTCGGGGCCTGGTCCTTCCTGTGTCCCTTGTGTTGAGGGGCGGCTCCGGGCTGCCCCTCACTCCTCTCAGTTTCCCCCGACAGAGGCTCCGCTGAGACGCTTCACATAGACGTGTGGGGCCCGGCCCGCGTCCGTGGACAGGGTCACGAGCGCTACTTCTTGCTGGTGGTTGACGACTACTCGCGTTACACCACAGTCTTCCCCTTGCGCAGCAAGGGTGATGTCACTGAGGTGTTGATCGACTGGATCCGCGCAGCTCGTCTCCAGCTCAGGAGGAGCTTCGGCTCGGACTTTCCTGTTCTGCGTCTGCACTCTGACCGAGGCGGAGGGTTCTCCTCTGGCCTTCTGCGAGCCTACTGTCGTGCGCGAGGCATCCGCCAGACCTTTACGCTTCCGGACTCTCCACAGCAAAATGGGATTGCTGAGCGCCGCATTGGCATGGTCATGGACGTCGCTCGTACGTCCATGATGCATGCGGCTGCCCCCCATTTTCTGTGGCCGTTTGCGGTTCGGTACGCGGCGCATCAGATCAACCTTCACCCCAGGGTCTCCCGGCCGGAGACCTCCCTAGCTCTGCTATGGACGGGGAAGGTCGGCGATGCGTCTGCGTTCCGTGTCTGGGGATCTCGGGCGTTTGTCCGCGACTTGTCTGCGGACAAGCTGTCCCCTCGTGCTGCTCCCTGTGTCTTCCTTGGCTTCCCCCCTGACGCACCAGGGTGGCAGTTCTACCACCCCTCCTCTCGTCGTGTTCTGTCCTCCCAGGACGTCACGTTCGACGAGTCAGTCCCCTTCTACCGCCTCTTCCCCTACCGCACTCCTTCCCTCCCCCCGCCACCGCACTTCCTTGTGCCAGGTCCCCCCCCGGTAGACCCCCTCCCCCCTCAGGGTCCTGCCCCTCACGTGTGTCCCAGGTAGACGCAGTCGAGCCGGTCGAGGTTGCTGGTGACTCTGGTACTGCTGCGGGTGCTGAGCCTGGGGGTGCTGACTCTCGGGGTGCTGCGACTGGGGGTGCTGAGCCCGGGGGTACTGCGACTGGGGGTGCTGAGTCTGGGGGTGCTGAGCTTGGGGGTGCTACTTCAAGAGCTGCTGAGCCAGGGGGTGCTTCGTCTAGAGCTGCTGAGCCTGGAGGTGCGGAGCCAGCGGCCGCTGGACCTCCCCTTGTGGCGTCTGGCGGTGCTGGGCCTGGAGGTTCTCTGGGTGCTTCGTCTCGGCGGGAGCCACTCTCTCCACAGGAGCTGCGCGAGTGGTTTGCTCGCCGCTGGAGGCGTCCTACTGGAGCTGGAGCTTCTTCGGCCGCTGGGGGTGCTGGTGCCGCCGGTCCCGGAGCTGCTGGGCCTGCGGGTCCGACTGGAGCTGGAGCTGCTGAGAGTGTTGTTGCTGAGCCTACTGCTGTCCGTCCTGGCGGTGGTCCTGCTGCGGGTGCTGCTGGTGCTGCTGGAGGTCCTGCAGCTGGAGGTGCTATTGGCGCTGCTGCTGCCGCTGAGGGTGCTGGTGCTGTCCCTGCTGTGTCAGGAGTTGCCGCGCGGCCTCGGTCGTACTTCGTTTTGCTCCTGCAGCAGGTTCTTGGTCCTTCTCCTCCTGTCGAGTGTCCACCGCCCGTCCAGTCACCGTCACAATTAGAGCCCGCCTCCCCACTGCTTGCTCCCTCTCCTTACACTGGTCCTACTGGAGGTCTTGCTGAGCGTCATGAGCCAGCGTCTCGTCCCGCGTCGCCTGTTCGTGCTGCTCGCGCTAGTGGTCGCGGTTCGCGTCAGCGTCCTCCTCCTGTCCCAGGCATGCACCGGATGTCTCTGTGTCCGTCCACTGCTCCTCAGCGTGTCCCTTTGCCTTCTCCTCCTGCCTCCTCTCTTCCTGCGCTTGCCGACCCGGAGTCGGACTCTCTTCGTGCTGCCAGTCCTACTGTCACACGTCTCCTTGCTGTTGTCGTCACTGACCCCTCTTTTGAGTCCACTGCTGCGTCTGCTCTAATTGCTAAGCTCGTCGACTTTGCTGCTCGCTGTCGTCTCGACTACGCTGCTAGTCTTGTTGCTGGGTCTGCGTCTGTCTGTCCTCCGTCCGTCGGGGGTGAGTGTGCTCTTGGCACGGACGTCCTTGAGGACACACAGGAGGAGTTCCAGTGTCTTGCTCCTGCTTCACCTCATCTCGCGTCCGTACTGCTTGCCCCTGAGGGAGACCCGGATGCACTAGACATCCCGACTCCGCGCTCTTACTCGGAGGCCGTAGAGGGTCCCTACTCCTCTCAGTGGCAGGCAGCTATGGATGCAGAGATGGCTTCCTGGAAGTCCACAGGCACCTACGTTGACGCGGTTCCCCCTCCTGGGGCGAACATCGTCAGTGGCATGTGGATCTTCAGGGTGAAGCGGCCGCCGGGCTCTCCACCTGTCTTCAAGGCGCGGTACGTGGCTCGTGGCTTCAGTCAGCGGCAGAGAGTTGACTACTTTCAGACCTTCTCTCCCACCCCGAAGATGACCACTCTTCGGGTGCTGCTGCACATAGCCGCTCAGCGCGACTACGAGCTTCACTCTCTCGACTTCAGCACTGCTTTTTTGCAGGGTAGCCTGCACGAGGAGATCTGGCTGCGCCGTCCACCTGGCTTCACTGGGACTTTCCCTCTTGGCACCCAGTGGAGCCTTCGACGACCAGTCTACGGTCTCCGCCAGGCACCGCGTGAGTGGCAAGACACACGGAGGACTACGTTTGCGGCTCTTGGGTTTGCTCCCTCTACTGCTGACCCGTCGTTGTTTCTACGCACCGGCACCTCTCTGCCGCCGTTCTACATCCTCGTGTACGTCGACGACTTGGTCTTTGCCACACCTGACACTGCTGGACTCGCCTACGTGAAGTCCGAGCTGGAGAAGAGACACACGTGCACAGACCTGGGTGAACTGCGCAGCTACCTTGGCTTGCAGATCACCCGGGACAGAGCACGCCGCACCATTACCTTGACTTAGTCACACATGGTGCAGCAGGTCCTTCAGCGCTTCGGCTTCACGTACTCCTCGCCTCAGGCCACTCCTCTGTTTACTCGCCACTCGCTCTCAGCTCTGCCTTCGGATGAGTCCGTAGAGTCGAGTGGCCCGTACCCAGAGCTTGTTGGCTGCCTCATGTACCTGATGACCTGCACACGACCTGACCTTGCATACCCTCTTAGCATTCTTGCACGCTATGTTGCTCTTGGGAGACACAGACCAGAGCACATGGCTGCAGCGAAGAGGGTGTTGCGCTACTTGTGCAGTACGTCGGGCATGGGGCTAGTGCTTGCAGGGCGGAGTCGAGTGGTCCTCAGTGGGCACGCGGACGCTTCTTGGGCTGACAACCAGGCTACTCAGCGGTCGTCGCAGGGTTACACCTTCAGTCTTGGTTCCGGCTCTGTTTCGTGGCGGGCTACTCGCTCGTCTTCTGTTCTCGGCTCCAGTTGTGAGGCTGAGATCTACGGCGGGGCCATGGCTGCACAGGAGCTTCGCTGGCTCACCTACCTGCTCACCGACCTTGGAGAGCCGCCTCGTTCTCCTCCAGTGCTGTACGTAGACAACAAGGCCATGCTGGCCCTGTGTCGAGAGCAGCGTCTGGAGCACAGAACGAAGCACATTGCTCTCCGTTACTTTCTTGCTCACGAGCTGCAGCAGCGTGGTCAGTTGCGACTTGCGTACGTAGCCTCTAAGGCCAACACTGCTGATGTTTTCACCAAGGCACTTCCACCTTGTGATCATCAGCGCTTGTGTACTCAGCTGGGACTTGTACCTGTCTTACCTCACTTGCTCACCTCTTGACCTTGCTTGTACTCTTAGATATATATATATATATATATATATATATATATGCTATGTCAGAATATTATCTTATTGTTCTAGCCTGTAGTGGGGTGCTCTATAGCGAGTACAACCCTTCTAGGGTTTGCTATTTGTATCCTCATTCTTGCTAGTTCAATCCTCTTTTTCTTCTTCTAATTTTGACATGCTATCAGAGCAGGTCGATCCCCTTGGATCGATCCTGTGGGTGTGTCCCCACCTTGCTTCCGCTGCTACTTTTTCCTCCCGCCGTGCGCCCCGAGGCGCGCGGCGGTTTTCTGCCCGCCGTGCGCCCCGAGGCGCGCGGCGGTTCATTGCCCGCTGTGCGCCCCGTGGCGCGCGGCGGGCTTCTCCTCTACGTCGCGGCCCCGCCCCGGCCCGTCGCCGCCCGTGCGCCCGCTCGACGCGGCCCCGCTCTAAGTCGCGGCCCCGCCCCGGCCCGTCGCCGCCCGTGCGCCTGCCCGGCTCGGCTGGCACAGCTGGCTACGACTGGGCTACCGGGACAGCGCCCCGGACTACAGGTGCTGCTGACGACAAACTGGCAACCTCCGCTCATCCTCCCGCACACAGTCCCACCCCCGTTGGGGTACACATTTTCTAGGGTTGCATATTTGTATCACTTTCATTCATTAGTCCATCATTCTCGTTCTACTTTCCACACAACCCTCGTTGCCTCTTCCGTACGCCATCCCTCTATATATGGACGAGCAAAAAAACGAAGCGAACCGAACAGGTTTGTTTTTTTTTTGCTTAAAGTGTTCTCTGAGCAGTGTTCGAGGTTGGCCCGAACACGTTCGTGTTCGGGCCTCTGCTGCAAATTGCTCCGCGATGAACACGAACGTGTTTCGCCCGTACACGCCTTCACAGGCGAACAACAAACACCTGTTTTTGCGCAAGGTGTTCGCCGAACCGAACAGTATTCAGTTTGGCAAACGGCTGTGTTCGTGTAGGGGCGAACCCGGCAAACGGCTGTGTTCGCCCCTTGCTCACCCCTACCTCTATGCACTCCGTCTCCTTCTCCACTCAGCCATGCAGGGTGGTTCAGCGTGGATCATGAGCGCTATAGGGCAGCAACGTGCCGAACACTCTTTTATGTCTTCCCACTCATCGGCCCCCCAGGGTTGAGCCAAGCGGACTTGAAGGCACTGGAGGCCATCATCGTGCAGCAAGAGCTGCGCTACGTGGTGGAGGGCATCACCCTGCCGTACGCGCAGTGCTACTCGCTGCAGCAGCTGCACAACGCCACCGACGGCTTCGACGACCAGCTGCTGCTGGGGCAGGGTGGATTCGGCAAGGTATGTCTGGGGGAGGGCGGATTTGGCCACTGACTCCCAGCCCATCAACACCCAGCCCATTGTGTCACACAATCGATTGATGTGTTAGTGGGGTTCCTGGATTTGCGACCCAAGGTTTAGTGGGTTATGGTTCCCCCACCCCTTCTGGAGCCTCCTTTCTACCTCCCTAATCATCTCCGCCCTTACCCTTCCCTTCTGTGTTTGCCAGTGTATAACGGGGTGCTAAAGGGAAGGCACTGGTAACAAGCAGCGCAGCACAATCGCGCCAACCCCTTCCCCCGTCCCTCCCTCTCCCTTCCATTCTTCCCACCCATTCCCCCTTGTCCCCCTCCTCCCTCCTCCCTTCCCCATCCCCTTGCGGCCACCAGGTGTACAGAGGGGTGCTGAACGGTGAGGCGGTGGCGATAAAGAAGGCGACCAAGAAGCATCAGCATGACGGAAAGGCCTTCACGAACGAGATCGAGCTTCTCACCAAAGCGTCACACCGCAACCTCGTGCAGCTCAGAGGGTTCTGCGTCGAGAATGATGAGCAGCTGCTGGTGTTTGAATTCATGGAGGGCGGTGCTCTGAATGAATGGATCGCGGGTGGGTTTTGCTATGAACGAATGGATCACGGGTGGGTTTTTCTCTGAACGAATGGATCACGGGTGGGTTTTGCATCAACTATGGCGCCTGCTGTCGCTGCGTGCTGCGCTGCTATGTGCGTTGAGACGAGTGAGCACCACAGCCCATGAACTACTCAGCAACTCCTTCCCACCCCCATCTCCTTCCTCCTTCCCCCCCCCATCTCCTTCCTCCTTCCCACCCCATCTCCTTCCTCCTTTCCACCCCCATCTCCTTCCTCCTTCCCAACCCATTTCCTCCCTTGCCACACATCTCCTTCCGCATTGATCCTGTGATTTTTCCCAACAACCATTCCACTCCTCTCTCAATCCACTCCCACTCTGCCGACATGGTGACAGGCAACAGGAGGCGCAGTCTGACGTGGAGAACGTTGCGAGTGCACTGCGCTACCTGCACAGCGAACTTCTGAATGGAGAAAGTGTTGTGCACGGGGACATCAAGGTGAGACCGCACCTCCCACTCTCTTCATCCGTCATTTTTTGAAGTAAGAAGCATGAATGAATTAAAGCGTGCAATCCTCTCAATCTGAGCTCCTCAATCCTCTCAATCTGAGCTCCTCCATCCTCTCAATCTGAGCTCCTCCATCCTCTCAATCCAGGATGAAGTGTGTCTCGGAATGAAGACCAAGGTGCCTTACTCGAGGTCCCTTCTCATCCCCTCACCCTCCCCCCCCCACCCTCCCCCCAACCCCCCCTCTCTTTTCTTTCCTGGCGGGTGGCAGCCGGACAACATCCTGCTGACGGCAGGGCAGCCCATGGAGGCGAAGGTGGCGGACTTTGGGACGTCCAAGACGCTGCCGGAGCGCGGCAAACTGGATTTTGGGCTTCGGGCGATACGGTCATCATGACCAAGGTGAGAGGAGAGGAGTGAAGGGGAGAGGAGAGGAGAGGAGAGGAGAGGAGAGTAGAGGATAGGAGAGGAGAGGAGAGGAGAGGAGAGGAGAGGAGAGGATAGGAGAGGAGAGGAGAGGAGAGGAGAGGAGAGACGGGTGAGATGAGAGGAGTGGCAGGCGGGTGAGAGGAGAGGAGGCAACGTGCTGCATCATGCCTTTGCTGCGACATCCATTTCTGTACTCTTACGCTCCTAAATGCTTCAAACCTTCCATCCGCAGCGTAATGTTCCTCCCATCCCCCCTCTCCCCCTCCCCCCCTCCCCCCCTCCCCTCCTCCCCTCCTCCCCAGGGCTACCTCGACCCGGACTTCATGCACTCAAACAAGCTGACAGAGTATAGCGACGTGTACAGCTTCGGCGTGGTGCTGCTGCAGCTCGCCACGGGGCAGCCTCCACTCGTCCCGAGTGACCATGGGAAAGTGCTGCTCAGGCAGTACGTTTGGCGCCTCACCTGCACCACCGATGGCCTCTCCTCCGTTGTCGACCCGTGCCTGCGTGGTGCGGGGGAGGGGAGTGGGGAAGGTGAGCGCGCGGGAGATGGTGGCGGGGCGGGAGGAGGCGTTCGACACGTTCCTGCGCCTGGTGCTGTGGTGCACAGAGGGGCGCCCCAATGACCGCCCCACCATGGTGGACGTGGAGTCTGCACTGCGCAACATCCAACAAGCTGCTGCTGCTGCTGGTGGGCTTCAGGCGGTGCAGCAGCAGCAGGGTGTGGCACGAGGGGCGAATGGGTTGGCTCCCCAATGTGGCCCTGGGCTTGTCGCTGGAACCCCCTTCCATCCAGTGCCGCCCAGGAGGGTGCAGAGGTGGGAAACGGGTACGGTGGTAGCTCGCCTGCTGCAGCTGGTGGATTTATGGAGGAAGAAACTGAGACAATGACTGGCCCGTGTGCTCGGTAGTGTGCGTTAGTGTTTGGCCTCGATCTAAACTTCTGTACTTGTACTTTCGCATCTCCATCTCAAATTGGCGAGGGGGTGTTCTAAGCAATACAAGAAATCAGTGGAGTTATATAGCTGGGGGGACATGAGATACAAATCATTGTGCATCCATACCCAGTTGGTGTTCAATCTGGGGGGGAACCTATGTGGGGCTTTGCAGTAATACCGTACCCAGTGATGAAGAGATGGTGATGATGAGGCCCGGATAGCAAATGGCTCGAATGGACATTGAGCATTAGGATGGGAGAAGTGCTTGACTGTGCCAGGTACAGGTGGGCGAGGCAGTGGAGGACAAGGCGGCACCACTTCAACCCCAAGTACGCTCGGTTTATTACCCTATCCTCCGGCTCCCTCCATTCGTATTCCAATACAATTTCTTGCAAGCTACCGAGCACGCGGCCCTGTCATCGTGTCAGTGTGCCCTTGTTCCTCGTCTGTGACTCCACTGGCTGTAGCAGACGAGCCACCAGCGTACCCCCGTCCCATGGCTCCATCCTCCTGGGCGGCACTGGATGGAGGGGGGTGCACCCCACCGACAAGCCCAGGGCCCCACAGGGGAGCCAACCCACCCGCCCCTCGAGCCGCGCCCTGCTGCTGCTGCTGCTGCGCTGCTTGCTGCCTGTGGGCCCCTGGTGACGCTTCACCACGTCCAGCAGCAACGGTAGCAGGGGGGTAGGTGGGATGAGAAGGGGGCCCCTGTGTGGCGCTATAACCGCTCCACGTGTAGTCCTGTGTGCCGCTCATGCTCTGCTCCTCCGTCACGCTGGGGCTGCTGAACGCAGTGGCGTCAAGGGGAGGCAGCGACCCGTGGAAGGACGAGGGCGTCGTGAACCCACTGGCGGTCCCACGCGGGCTTCTCCTGCTGCTGCCCCCACCAGCCATCCCCGCTCCCAGCTGGTCTCGAATCTTCCGCAGCTCCGACACGACCTGCTCCATGTCGGGGCGCAGCGTGGGGTGCTCCGCGGTGCACCACAGCGCGATCCGCAGGAACGTGCTGAACGTCTCCTCCAGCCCCGCCACCATCTCCCATGCGCTCAATCCCCCTTCCTCCCACTCCCCCGCACCGCCACCAACCACACCCGCAGCAGCGGCGGCGCCATCATCGGAGGGGGCGGCAGCGGCGAGCAGGGCGTGGTGGAGGCGCGGGTCGACGACGGAGGCGAGGCCTTGCGGGCCGAAGGCGAGGTGCAGCACGACCTGGCTGAGCGGCACGTGCTGGATGAGCGGCGGCTGCCCCGTGGCGAGCTGCAGCAGCACCACCCCGAAGCTGTACACGTCACTGCTCTCCGTCAGCACGCCTGAATGCACGAAGTAGGGGTCTATGTAGCCCTGGGGGGAGGGGGGCAGGGTAGAGGGAGAAATAGGGGAGTGGAAGGATGGAGGGATGGGAGCGAGGACTTGTGAGCCGAATGCTACTCACAGGTTGCTGCAATCCGTCAGTTCAGCTGAATGTAAGACCGCACGGCATCTCACCCAGCTACCCATGACCTCGCTGCACTGCACCGCATGGCATCTCACCCGGCTGCCCATGACCTCACCACACTGCACCGCATGGCATCCCACCTTGCTGCCCACGATCTCATCGGGCATGAACTCGCCGCGCTCCGGCATGGACTTGGACGTCCCAAAGTCCGCCACCTTCGCCTCCAGCGCTGCTGTCAGCAGGATGTTCGGCGGCTGCCGTGCCACAGCAGGAGGGGGCGGGAGGGCGCGGAAAAAGGGGCGAGGGAGGATCAACATTGAGTGAGCCTCCTGTTACGGATGGGTGGGACGAATGAGATTAGAAAAGTCACCATAGTTCATTCATGGTATGAAGATTAAAGCATGGCACGACCCACCTTGATGTCGTGGTGCAGGAGCAAATATAGGCATACTTCATCTATGGTATGAAGACCAAGGCGCGCTCCCTCTCACCTTGATGTCGTGGTGCACGATGGCAGGCCTCATCTCGCGGTGCAGGTAGTGCAGCGCACTCGCTGCGTTCAGCGCAATACGCATCCGCTCCCGCCATGTCAGCATGCGACCCATCTTGCCTGCCGCCACGTCAGCAGAGCAAGCAGGTGGCGTGGATTGGGATGAGACAGAAAGAAATGGACGTTGCCAGAAATCAGACCATGAAGAAGGTACCATCATGTGATGGCGCATGCAAGGGGGGGCTGGGGGTGGTGGGGGAAGTGGTGGGGGGGGTGGGGTAGGGACCCAATTTGGTTGCGTGTACAGAACAATAGCTTAGATGCTGAAGAGTACGTGCAAAACAGCATGTCCTGTGCATATTAGCTTCAGATTTTGCATTCGATTCACTAGCTAGCACACCGTTCAACACGTCCAGTGGGCGCCCCCATGACCCCCAACACAAGCATCCCCAGCTAAGCGCACCACATGTGACGGCAATCACACCTTTGATCCACGCGTCCAGAGCACCGCCCTCCATGAACTCGAACACGAGAAGCTGCTCGTCCTTCTCGACGCAGAAGCCTGTGAGGCGCACGAGGTTGCCGTGCGACACGGCGGTGAGCAGCTCGATCTCGTTCTTGAAGTCCGCCCCGTCATGCCGCTGCTTCTCCCTCGCCTTCTTTATCGCCACTGCTTCACCGTTCAGCTCCCCGCGGTACACCTGGCGCATGAGGGGATGATCGGTTGTTTGAGTTAGAGGCGGGAACGGGATAAGGCTTGGGCCTGCTGTGCTGCGTTGCTTATTGCTGTCCGGCTCTTGAGAACGCCAAGGTTCACCTGGCATGCACGGGGGTGAGAACGATGAAGGCGCGGGAAGGTGATGCGGAAGCCGAGGGGGGGGAGATCAATCAGTAGCGGGGAGAAAGGGGGAGGGATAATGAGCAGGGGAAATGCTCGGTGCCATCCTTGTGACCGTCGCAGCAGTGGTTGAAAAGACGCCTTTAATCTCCTCCCACATGCATTCCTTCAATCTCCTCCCACATGCATTCCTTTCACCTGTACCATGTCACACCCACCTTCCCTGAACAAACTCTATTACCTTGCCGAATCCGCCCTCCCCCAGACATACCTTGCCGAATCCGCCCTCCCCCAGACATACCTTGCCGAATCCGCCCTGCCCTAGCACGCGCTGGTCATCAAAGCCATCAGTGGCGTCGTGCAGCTGCTGCAGCGAGTAGCGCCGCGCGTGCTGCAGGCTGATGCCCTCCAGCGCCTCGTAGTCCGCATGGCTCCACCCTGGGAGGGCGATGAGTTGGGGATGTAAGAGAGGGGTGGCGGATGTAAGAGAGGGATGGAGGTGGGAGATAGAAACGAGTGTGGTGCAGGCTAAAGTTGTACAGCCACGAGTAATAGTACTAGCTCTACTGCTCTCTGCCTTCTTCCCTGACAGACAGTGTGGATGGCAGCCATTGAGTGGCACACAAGGGTTACCTTTCCTTGTCTGTTTGGCCGTACTATGAGTGTGCTGTATTTATCACGCTTATTTAATGAAGGACCATTCGAGGGTTACCCTCATTTACACAGATAATGGGGGAGCATGGACGAGGTCATGAGATGATCACCTCCAACCACGTGCCTTGCGCACTGGCTACCGTGCCTTGCGCACTGGCTACCGTGCCTTGCTCACTGGCTACCGTGCCTTGCTCACTGGCTACCGTGCCTTGCTCACTGGCTACCGTGCCTTGCTCACGTGCAGCTCCCCACCACATTCGACACTCCCCTTCTGACAAGCAGACTTTACTCCCCTGCAAATCAACTCTTCCTTTCCCTTCTCTCACCCGTTCCCACCCTTGCTGCTGTTTCTTGCGTCCCAATAGCACTTCCCAACCTTCCTTTACTCCGTGCTCCCACCTCGCCGGCTCACCTCGCTTCTCCCAGGGGCGGAAGAGCAGCACGAGGGCGAGCGAGATGACAAGCGTGGCGCAGCAGATGGCAATGGCCGCGATGGTGCCTGGGCTTAGTGCTGATGCTGCCTGCGACGGCGGCTTGTACGCTGCCAGGTGGTGTGTGTGGGGTGGATGGAAGGGGGGAAAGGGGAAGCAGAGTAACGATGATGAAGGAAGAAGAGAGGAAACAGGGACGAAGCAAGGACGTGTCTGTGTGCCCTTGAAGGTCCTCCACCGCATGGAACACCTGCACACACCTGCCAACCCACCTCTTTCCCTGCACCACTTCACCCTTATCCAACCCCTCCCACTCCCCCCTTCCTCCCCTCCCCTCATGATGCACGTGCGTATCCGAAGACGGCCTTCCCCGCCTTCCCCCACTCTCCCCTCCCCTCAACCCCCCCTCACCAAGCACTTACGAGCAGGGCCGTAGAAGGCTTCGACGCGGTACGACCCGAACTCGTCCAGGTTGGCGCGCAGCGTCGGGTCGCGCGTGGAGAGCGCGGCGCGGATGGCGCGGGGCGTGTCGCTGGGCAGCCAGGAGTCGTCCCCGGCGGGCGGGAAGAAGAGCGCGGTGATGATGAGCGTGGACTCGTGCATCGTGTGGTCGGACGCGAATGTTGACGCCAGTGAGGCGAGTGACGCACGGCTGCTGATGCCCGTCACTTGCACCTGTGTGGTGCATGGGCGGATGGAGAAGGTAAGGAGGGTTCTTCAACGATTAGGACTACTGGATGTTGTTCAAAGAGTCGGCCACCAGAATCCTCCAACAGAGACTCAGACTCACGCACCAATCTTTCTCCACCAGATAATGGAAATGACACTAGGATTGGCCTCGCGTTCGGCCGGGAAGGTTCCATGGTGCAACGGGCTACATGTCCTTCGACCCAGTCCATTCTGAACCGGCTACTTGCCGGGAAGGCCCGGGTTCAGTTTCGTGTGTTGTGACGTCAGCCTGTGCAAGCAGAGGGGATTGCCGATCGCAGACAAGGGTGTGGAGGGAGAGCATTCTTTCCTCTGTAAGGGCGCGCTCCCGGTGGGCGGAGAGTGGAAAGAACACGGGGATTAAGCTCGGGTTCAATCGGAGGGGCTACACGGCAAGTGTTTCGGGAGGCGCAAGGGCAAGGGCGCGCAGCACGCGTGCGAGAGATGTTGATGCGCGCCCTGCCCATCAGCTGCGTGAAGCGCTTCTCCTCGCGGCTCTCCTCGCGGCTCTCCACGAGGTCGTCTGTGAACACCACGAGGTCCGCGATCTCAGATCAAAATTTCGAGGTCGCCGTACACGTACTATGTTCAAACATATATAGATACTAACCATTTACTTGCGAAGTAAATGGTTAGTATCTATATATGTTTGAACATAGTATGAAACCGGGGGAATTTAAGCAGGCTGCTTTTTGAGAATTCTCAAAAAACAGATGACGCAGTCCGCGAGGTACAGCCCTAGCTTGGCGCGCACTGGCGACGCACCTGATTGCGCGTGATGTTGATGTGCGCGCGGGTGGTGAGCTGCGAGAAGAGCTTGTCCTCCAGGCTCGTCACCTGGTCGTCTGTGAAGACCACGAGGTCCGTCAGGTACAGCCCCAGCTCGGCGCGCAGCGGCGACACGCACACGCACTCGCTGGCGTCGCGGAACAGCGGCTCGCTGGGGCGGAAGAGGTCGCTGGCGCACGCGAGCTCTGCGCAGATGGCGCGCGCCGTGTACTGCGTGAGAAGGCGCGGCGGGGAGCACTGCTGCGCGATCTCCGCGCGGAATGGCTTGCAGAGGTCGTTGCCATACAGCCTGGGGGGGAAAGGAGGATGGGGGTGGGGAGAGAAGGGCGTGGATGAAGACAGGACAGGAGAATAGGAAGAGGCGATGCAGGTTGCACACAAGGAAGGTGTGAGTGGATGGTGACGGCGGTGGTGGTGACGTCATTGGAACGGTCATGGCGACAAGGCCGCCAATGCATCAAGGTTATTATGTTGCGCTCATCGGTGCTCTCTTTCTCTGCTGCACCGCACCACACTCACTGCACCGCACTCACTGCACCGCACTCACTGCAGAGTGGCGTTGGTTTGGTTGAGCAGGGCGGGCGGCACGGCAGTGAAGTCGTTGTCGTAGAGGGAGAGCGCCACGAGGCTTGGCAGCCCTGACATGTCCGGAATGGCGCCTGTCAGGTTGTTGCCTGCTAGGAACCTGCCATGCGGGGAGAGGAGGACAGACAGAGGTAGGGAAAGGTTGGAAGAGGTTGGCAGAGGTGAGGCTAGGTTGTTGTCTGCCAGGAACCTGCAGGCATACGTGGCGGTACATACAGGTGGGGGTGCGAGGAGGGTTACAGGTGGGCACTTGCAAGGAGATGAGACGAGAAAGGGATTGTGAGGATCTGGGGAGACGCCCTGGCGTGAACGGTTGTGAACAGTGGGACGGCTCACAGGGAGTGGCGGCTCACAGGGAGTGGCGGCTCACAGGGAGTGGCGGCTCACAGGGAGTGGCGGCTCACAGGGAGTGGCGGCTCACAGCGATTGCAGCTTGGAGGCATTGGCGATCTGCTGAGGCAGGTGGCCGGTGAGCGAGTTGTTGGCCAGGTTGCTGCATGAAGGAGTGCGGGAGGGGGCAGAGCGAAGAAAAGCAGCACAACTGACATTCAGACTTGAGGAGGGCGAAAGAGCCCAGGTGTATGCGATGCTCACCCACTCATGGGACGCTCACAGGTTGATGGGACGCTCACAGGTTGATGGGGCGCTCACAGATTGATGCGACACAGAACGGTGAGCGTTGAAGCGACAAAAGGACGGTGCAGAACGGTGAGCGTTGATGCGACACAGAACGGTGCAGAACGGTGAGCGTTGATGCGACACAGAACAGTGCAGAACGGTGAGACGCTCACAGGTTGATGAGGTTGGGGCTGTGCCAGAAGAGCGTGGGGGGAATGGCGCCCGTGAACTTGTTGCTGCTCAGATCGCTGGGGGCCAGCACAGAGGGGAGGAGGGTTTAAGGTGGGGAGGAGGGTGAGTGAAAGGTGGGAGTGTTGATGGAAGGGGGAGTGTGGGTGAAGGTGGGGGTGTGGGTGAAGGTGGGGGTGTGGGTGAAGGTGGGAGTGTGGGTGAAGGTGGGAGTGTGGGTGAAGGTGGGGGTGTTGATGGAAGGGGGAGTGTAGGGGTGGAAGCTAGGCAAGATAGAATGTGTGGTGTGTCGGACAAGAAGCTGGGAGAAGAGGAATTGGATGGGAGGAGGTGGATGGGTTGGGCTCACAGGTTGGCAAGGCTGGATGGGTTGGGCTCACAGGTTGGCAAGGCTGGCAGAGAGCGGGAAGGATGGCAGCGGTTGCTGTGGTAGTGAACAGTTGCTGGCGAGGCTGGTGCACGGGGAGAGAGGGGCATGTAGGGGGACACACACACACACACAAACTCACACACACACACTCTCACACACACACTCACACTCACACGCACACACACACGCACACACACACACTCATACACACTCACACGCACACACAAACACGCACACACGCACACATACACACACGCGCACACGCGCACATGCACACACGCGCACACACACACACACACACACACACACACACACACACACACACACACATGCACATGCGCACACACACACACACACACGCTCACACACACACACGCGCGCGCGCGCACACACACACACGCGCGTGCGCGCACACACACACACACACACATGCACATGCGCGCACACACACACACACACACATGCACATGCGCACACACACACGCGCGCGCGCACACACACACACACACACGCGCACGCGCGCACACACACACACAGATGGATAAGAACCGTAAACTTTTCCACGCTTGAGCTCACTGCTCTACGCTTGATCTCACTGCTCCACGCTTGATCTCACTGCTCTACGCTTGATCTCACTGCTCTACGCTTGATCTCACTGCTCTACGCTTGATCTCACTGCTCTACGCTTGATCTCACTGCTCTACGCTTGATCTCACTGCTCTACGCTTGATCTCACTGCTCTACGCTTGATCTCACTGCTCTACGCTTGATCTCACTGCTCTACGCTTGATCTCACTGCTCTACGCTTGATCTCACTGCTCTACGCTTGATCTCACTGCTCTACGCTTGATCTCACTGCTCTACGCTTGATCTCACTGCTCTACGCTTGATCTCACTGCTCTACGCTTGATCTCACTGCTCTACGCTTGATCTCACTGCTCTACGCTTGATCTCACTGCTCTACGCTTGATCTCACTGCTCTACGCTTGATCTCACTGCTCTACGCTTGATCTCACTGCTCTACGCTTGATCTCACTGCTCTACGCTTGATCTCACTGCTCTACGCTTGATCTCACTGCTCTACGCTTGATCTCACTGCTCTACGCTTGATCTCACTGCTCTAACGCTTGATCTCACTGCTCTACGCTTGATCTCACTGCTCTACGCTTGATCTCACTGCTCTACGCTTGATCTCACTGCTCTACGCTTGATCTCACTGCTCTACGCTTGATCTCACTGCTCTACGCTTGATCTCACTGCTCTACGCTTGATCTCACTGCTCTACGCTTGATCTCACTGCTCTACGCTTGATCTCACTGCTCTACGCTTGATCTCACTGCTCTACGCTTGATCTCACTGCTCTACGCTTGATCTCACTGCTCTACGCTTGATCTCACTGCTCTACGCTTGATCTCACTGCTCTACGCTTGATCTCACTGCTCCACGCTTGATCTCACTGCTCTATGCTTGAGGTCAGCCCTGGAGCGAGGTGCCGCACTCACAAGTCCTTGAGGTGGGGGAGGAGCCACGTGGTGGGCAGGCTGGGCAGCACGTTGTTACTCCAGTAGCTGCGGGGATGGAAGCGGGGGGAGGTGGGTGGGTTGGGGTAGGCGCAGGGGCATACGGAAGGTCGTGGATGTGTTGGATTCAGAGGGGGGCACGGCTTGGTTTCAACTGCAGCAAGCCGTGCATAGCTGGATTGGGTACTGAGGGGAAGGGGCAGTAAGTGCGATGCAGAGGTGAGTGGACGTGGGTTACAGTGGCACGCACATGACAGTGGCACGCACATGACAGTGGCACGCACATGACAGTGGCACGCACATGACAGTGAGGTTTGTGTTGTTGAATGCCGCTGGGATGGGATGGGTGAGCCGGTTGCTGTCCACCAGCCTGCTTCGTGATGCACGAGAGGATGGCGGGAGGGAAAGGGTGAGACACAGGGGGGGACATGGAGGGGGGGACATGGAGGGGGGGACATGGAGGGGGGGACATGGAGGGGGGACATGGAGGGGGGACATGGAGGGGGGGACATGGAGGGGGGGACATGGAGGGATCGGAACGCTGGGAGGGATCGGAACGCTGGGAGGGATCGGAACGCTGGGAGGGATCGGAACGCTGGGAGGGATCGGAACGCTGGGAGGGATCGGAACGCTGGGAGGGATCGGAACGCTGGGAGGGATCGGAACGCTGGGAGGGATCGGAACGCTGGGAGGGATCGGACATGGCAGAAACGATCTGTGCGGGTGGATGGGACTGCTGGTGGGCTATGAGTGGCATGCACTCTGCTGCCTGCCGCCACTCACACGTGCTCTAGCTTGGGTAGTCTGCTGATGTGCGCCGGCACTGAGGTGAGCAGGTTGCGACTCATGTGGCTGGGGGGGGGGGGAGAGGGGGGAGAGAAAGGAGAGTGGGGAAAAACAAAGAGGTGAAAGGAAAGGAAAGGAGGAACGCACACCACACACACACGCGCACCACACTCGCACACGCACCACACTTACACACACACCCCACTCACACACGTACCCCAATTACACACACACCCCACTCACACGCGCACCCCACTCACACGCGCACCCCACTCACACGCGCACCACACTCACACGCGCACCCCACTCAGACGCGCACCACACTCAAACACGCACCCCACTCACACGCACCCCACTCACACGCACCCCACTCACACGCACCACACTCACACGCACACCACATTCATAGGTGCCCTAGCTGACTGGCCCCTTGAAAGGAGGGCACGGTGCCGTCAATGCAGCTATCCATGATGTCCCACATGTACAGCTGCTGCAATGAGCTCACTGCTACATGCATACCCCACCCCCACCCACAACCCCACCCCCAACCCCAACCTTAACCCCACCCACACCCCAATCACATCCGTGCCCCACGCACAGGTGACCGAGCTCGTTGGCGCCGTGGAAGGAGGGCACGGCGCCCTCAACGCGGTTGTCCATGATGTCCCACATGTACAGCCGCTGCATGCCGCTCACGGTGGCCGGGATGGACCCTGACAGGCGGTTCTGGTTCACCAGGAAGAACTTGAGGCTCGCCAGCCGCCCCACTGTGGCTGGGATGGACCCTGTCAGGTTGCACCCGTGCACGTCGCTGGGGGGAAGGGGGAGGCAGAGGGGGTGGGGGAGGAGGGCAGGGGATGCGGGGGGGGGGGGAACATTAGGAGGGTGGGCACGGGGAGGGGGAGGCACAGCACAGCACAGGCGCGTGCCTAAGAGCACTCACAGCAGCGTGCACAGGTGTTGGCGCGTGCCTAAGAGCACTCACAGCAGCGTGCACAGGTGTTGGCGCGTGTCTAAGAGCACTCACAGCAGCGTGCACAGGTGTTGGCGCGTGCCTAAGAGCACTCACAGCAGCGTGCACAGGTGTTGGCGCGTGCCTAAGAGCACTCACAGCAGCGTGCACAGGTGTTGGCGCGTGCCTAAGAGCACTAACAGCAGCGTGCACAGGTGTTGGCGCGTGGCTAAGAGCACTCACAGCAGCGTGCACAGGTGTTGGCGCGTGTCTAAGAGCACTCACAGCAGCGTGCACAGGTGTTGGCGCGTGCCTAAGAGCACTCACAGCAGCGTGCACAGGTGTTGGCGCGTGCCTAAGAGCACTAACAGCAGCGTGCACAGGTGTTGGCGCGTGGCTAAGAGCACTCACAGCAGCGTGCACAGGTGTTGGCGCGTGTCTAAGAGCACTCACAGCAGCGTGCACAGGTGTTGGCGCGTGCCTAAGAGCACTCACAGCAGCGTGAGGTGGGCACTCACAGCAGCGTGAGGTGGGCGAGGTTGCCAAGGGCGTCAGGCAGGCTGCCTGTGAGCTTCGGGTTCAGCGCCAAGTTGCTGTCAGCGCGGGGCGGGGGGAACAAGGTGGGGGCCAGGGGAGGTCAGGATAGGCCAGAGGAGGCCAGGGCGGCCAGGACGGCCAGGGACGGCCGAAGGGAGCGATGGTGACGGTGCATGACAGGGTGAGCGTTTCGCGCTAGGGTGTGTAACGATGCAGTGGCACATGGCTGTGCGTGCGTGGGAGGCGCCGGATGGGAGGGCTGGAGTTTGAGGACTCGCTGGGATTCGCTGGGACTGGTGGGTCCGTTTGGGACTGGATTGAGATTTTTGGCAACGTGCACGTGTTGTGGGCGGGTGCGAGAACAGTGGGGACACGTGGAGGAAGAGGTTGATGGGAGCGGGGGGGCGAGGAGGGTGAGGGCGGCGGGACTGACAGCAGGCGCAGGTGGGTGAGATCGAAGACGGCGCTGGGCAGGTCGCCCGCCAGCCGCGTGTCCTGCAGGTCCCTGCGCACACGGCGGTGTGGAGACGGAGCGAAAGGGGGAGATGAGCACTGAGAGTGTGGAAGGCGAATGGGGAACTGTCGAGAGTGTCTTGGCAAGACTGACTGGCCGTGCGCCGTTTCGGGGCTGTGAAACACTTGCTTTTGCGCTCGTGAACTGGTTATACTGCCGCACACTCTCACAGCCCCCTCCCCCCCCCCCCTCCCAAAATCTCGTGTCCTATGCCTCTTGCCTCCTCTTCACCCCCGGATTTCCGCTCTTCGCTTGCGCCCTGCCGCTCGAGTGCACGCTGTAAGTACTCCCATGCCGTACTTTCCCGGCGGCCTTCCCGCCGCTTCACAAGAATTACACCAACTCTGATTCTAAAAGGTGGAGCCTCGCGTGGAGCATCGCGTGGAGCATCGCGTGGAGCAAGGCCCCCCACCTCACTCACAACGCAGCCCCCAAATAGGCCACTTCCTCTTTCCCTCCCCTTACCACCACACCCCCCCCCTCCTCCCTTTCCCCCCCTTCCCGCGCGGGACTCACAGCTCCGCCACCACGTTGTACATCCCGCCCGCGCCGCACCGCACGCCCGGCCACGAGCTTTGCGCGTCCGGCCCGCACGGGTCGTCGCCCGCCCACGCGTTGAACGGCGGCTCGTCGGGCCGCCCCACTGCCGCCGCCACCTGCCGCAGCGCCGCCACTGCGGGGCTCGGGGGGAAGCGCGGGGGGCGGGAGAGGAGCGCGGGGGAGAGGAGGGGAGGGGATGGAGCGTCTAGGCGTATGAGGGGGCCAGCACGGCCATTGTCTGTGCTAGTACCACACCAGGTGGTACCGTGCGCCGCTAGTGGCGTGGATCGTCGCTGCGTTCGGAAAAGCTGACGCGACTGGGAAATGCTTGCGACACCGGACGGAGGGAAGCGGGGGATTGAGGGAGGGTGGGGTGCTGGTGATGGGATCAGCTCGAAGCAATTGGGGAAAAGGGGCGGGGCAAGGGCATGGTTTGTTCTTGTGTGCCTGTGGCTCATCGCGAGTGCGCGCTGGAAAAGGCGTCGCAGGCGTGGGTGGAAATTACGGTAGCATAATCCAGGGCGGCAGATCATAAGTCTGATTTCTTGGCTCGCATTTCGCTCGATAAACAGCGCGCGTGACGTGGACGAAGGCGACAGGCGCTCGCTGCCAGTATGGGGGATGGCGAAACTGCGATGGTGGGAAAAGCATGATCGCAGGCCGAGAACGAGCCGAATCCGCCGACGGGCCTTACCGTGAGCGGGATCCGTGGCGGCGAGCACGAGTGCTGGCGGCAAGCCGATCAGCGCGAGCGATGCCAAGAGCAATGCGATCCGCACCGCCAAGAAATATTTCTTCGAGTCGCAGGACATTTTGGCCATCTAGCTATGTGATTAGCGAACTTAGGAAGAAATCGAACTGCACTAGCAGGATAAGCGAATAGAGCCTAGTATCTCGCCCTCATTACTATTATACGGTGCCGAGCTCGACTGTTATTAGAACTGCTTGAAAACTGGCAAGGAACGAGCAACTGCTGGCACGGAACTCGGAAAGATAAGGCGGGAGTGTTTCGATGCACAGATAAGGCGGCAAAACGCGCAGCGAGTCACGAAGGACAGGATCAAGATGGACGTCTGTCAGTTGGTCGGGAATACCAAGGTGAAGCAAGCCAAAGAAACACGGCAGTGGAAGCAAGGCCGCTGTGAAGGTGTCAGAAATGTCTGAAGGCAGTTCAGGGATGCTCGAAGAAAGGAAATATCGGTCGCGTCAAAGCAGCAACCACCGAGCAACCCAGATTCCATCCTGTTTGTTCATGGCAACAAAATTATTGTTGGCGACAGCGGGTGGACATGTTGCCTTGAGTTGAGACCCCCGCGTTTCACTCGTATGCTTACGCGCCGCGTCTGTGTGGTTCGAACGAAGAGGTTTACGAAGCGATATTCCTGGACCGCCTGCAGGCGAGATGTAACTTGAGGGACGAAAACGCAGTTACCAGAAGTTCCCGTGTCGTGGAAGTGAAGAATCGAATGGTGACCCAATAATTGTCTGGCATGCGGTAATCCGCGCTGATCTGGGCATCGCTTCCCATATTGCATTTCGGTACTATACACTCCACCTACCTAGTATAAGTTCAAGCTGCCTTGTTCTATAGCCTCGATTATTTCAACCCACACAACCTTGTTCCAAATGCAATCTTTCTTGTAAATTGGAAATATTTTCCTGCGCTTGTTATTAGATTCATCTTAGCACAAATGTGACTGATTGGCTCACCGCACACCATTGCGCTAGCGACATGGCGCTACCTCACTCGCAGCGTCTCTTTAAGGAAGAAAGAGTCAAGGGGTTGAGGATAAAGGAGGAGACCGAGGATGTTGGTGTTGGGCTGAGAAATAGCCCTTAGGATCTTTGTAGGGGTGAACTCTGGGTATAACTGGTGTAGTAGCCGAAGCGTTTTAATGAAGAGTTGTGAACCACCTTGCGCTAGTACGTGAGGGCAAAGTTGATTAATTAAAGCAAAGCGATACAAGATTATATATCAATACAGGGAAAATGAAAGGACACAGTTGTAACTACTTTACTGTTGCTGTTGCGGTTCGATACAGTGACGACTTGGACAACTGCTCTGTAACGAGTTAGTTGTGTGTCCTTGCTGTCGCGCTGTACTTGTCAGGTCAAAGGTCGCTGACCTTTGACTTTCGCGTAACCTCCGACAGTTGCTTCATTCAACCTCCAAGGGTTGACTCGCTGGTGCTTCGATAGTGTTTTGCTTCGCTTGTGTCTTGGTGTTTCGACATGACAGAGGCGCTTAAGTTAGTTGTTTCCAATACTCCCCTTCGCTTCTGGAGTGTCGCTGCTGGTGACGTGTCTCTGTCCAGTTAGCAGCATGCAGTACTCGAACTTCTGCTTTCCAAGCTTCTTGGTCAAGTAGTCAGCTGCCATCTCGGATGTGGGGCAGTATGACAGCTCGAGTCTTCCCTTCTCGATCTCGTCTTTCACAAAGAAGTATCGCAGGGCGATGTGTTTCGTCCTGTTCGCGAAGCCGTTCTTGTTGGCTATGCGAATGGCCGACTGGTTGTCGCAGAACAGTGTAAAGTTTGGTAACTGGGCTAGCTTGGCTTCCTCCAGGAGTTCGCGAAGGTACAGTCCTTCCTTGGTGGCTGAGCAGAGTGCAATATATTCTGCTTCAGCTGAAGAGAGGGCAATTAATTCCTGTTTGCTCGACTGCCCGGGGATAGGACCGATAGGCTCCAAGCGGTAGATGTAGCCGGTGCGGGAGCGCCTGTTGTCGGAGTCGCCGACGTGATCGGCGTCGACGTAGCCGATTAGTTTATGCGCTATAGCCGTGTTTTTATGGTAGGTCAGGCCAATTGTCGGAGTGCTGACGAGGTAGTGAAGAGCGCGATCGAGCTCCGCCAGATGTTCCGCTTCAGGTTTCTTGAGGTAGGTGGCGAGCTGACTTGTAGAGTACGTTAGGTCCGGGCGGCAGGTGACAGCTACGAAGAGGAGGCATCCTAGCTTCCTCTGGTAGTCGCGTATGCCGGCGGGCTTGAGTAGAGCGGAGCCTTCCTTGTGGTTTCGTGCCGTGTAGCGGTATGGCGTGGAGATGACGGTCGGTGTGAGTGCGAAGCGCTTGGTGATGGTGTCGGCGTATTTCGCGGCGCTGAGGTAGATCGCATCCTCTTCTTCCTGGATGTTAAGGCCGAGGTACTGTGTGACGGTGGACGAGACCGAGAGTGTGAGATCCCTTCGTAACTCCCCTTCGAACCAGGTAGTGACGCTGTTAGTTGAGGCGATATAGAGCAAATCGTCTACATAGACGATTAGCAGGATATAGTCGGTTCCGTTTGTGAGCCGGTACATGCCTTGGTCGTGAGGTAGCTGGCGGAATCTGATGCGAGTGAGTCTTGCGTGCAGGTACTGCTGCCAAGCCTCGGGGCTTGTTTGATGCCGTAGAGCGACTTCAGCAGCTGACAGACATGATTAGGCTCTACGTTGGAGCCGTGCGGTAGCTCGATGAAGATTTCTGCATCCACGGGTGCATAGAGGAATGCGTTGGCGACGTCAATTTGCCGCAGTTTCCTTTTCTTCATGGCGGCGATCGCGAGGAGAATTCGCAGCGAGGTGTGTCGGTCGACTGGAGCGAATGCCTCGGTGAAATCACGTCCATGTTCCTGGTCGAAGCTGCGCACAACCCAACGTGCCTTGAACTTGTCAATGGTGCCGTCAGCCCTTGTCTTCACGCGGAAGACCCACTTTCCGGTGAGAATTGTCTTGTTTCGTGCTACGCCGATAGGAACAACCTTCCAGGTGTTGCGTTCCTCCAGTGCTTTCAACTCTTTGTCCATGGCTTCGCGCCATTTTTCCTTATGCTCCCCCCCCAGAGCCTGCTGAACTGTCGCAGGCTCCTTAGGAAGCGCAGTGCCGTGGACTGCGGTGACCAGGCCAAGTATCTGTAGGCCACTCTGTGTGTAGCGGGGGAGTGATGTGTCCTCGGGATAAACTGCTTCGTCTCCCACTTCTGGTGTAGGATTGAAGTTTGGTCCTAGACGTTCTGCTTCGTTGGTGTTGACTTGTGCAGGTGTAACGTAACCGTTGTCGGCGAAGTGGTAATCGCGTAGATTTTCGTCATCCATTGGCATGTCGACGGAGCAGTAGGGGAGGGGTCCGGATTTCTTCCGAGGCTCCTTCCACGTTCTGCTCGTCCCAGTCAGCTTCGTCGTCTGCCGAGGCGAAGGCTCGGGTGCCAAGAAAACCATCGGAGCAATCGGGGTTTCCTTCTTGCAAGTTGGCAAGGTTTTACCGGAGGGTGAGGTTTTTGTAGAAGATGACATCACATGGTGCTACTATTTCCTTTGTTTCGACGTCGAAAATCTTCCATGCGTTGTAATGTTTTTCGATGCCCAGGTGTAGTCCCCACTGTGCGCGTCGGGAGAATCGACCAGCTCGTGCAGATGGGGGCCGGTACTATACCATGTAGCCGAAGACTCTCAACATTTTTGTGCTGCCCAGTTTTCGTGTCCATAGCAGATGCGGTGATGCGTTGTTCGGGAGCGATGATGACAAGAGTAAGTTGTGCAGCATGACGGCGTGGTCCATTGCTTCGGGCCACTGGTGGTTGGACAGGTGCATGCCACGTAGCAGCTTGCGCATGGTGTTCTGGAGGGTCATGTTCATCCTTTCTGCTACACCCTGCTGTTGATGGGCGTAGGGGAGAGAGATGAGTCGCTTGATTCCTCTCTCTGCCAAGTACTCCTTGAACCTCTGTGAGGTGTATTCTCCCCCTCAGTCTGACTGGAAGCTCTTGAGTTTTACT